CGACAGCGGTCAGAGTCAATGTGAACTGGTGGCTAAACTGTGTAATTACAGCGATGGCGTCAGTCACCTGATGCACACAGGCCCCAAAAAGACATTGCCAGTGTGCCACTGAGCAGCTTCCATAGGAATGCAGGGAGCTCCAACGCCACATCCAGTTCTCTTGGTACGACCATATGGAGGCCGCCATGTTTCTACAGTAGCCCAGAATGGACAAACCAAACACTGACTCCAGATAGGGGAGTTTTGTAGACACTGTAGTTTCTCCTACATCAGTGGTTCCAAACCTGAGGGTCGGTACCCCCACTAGGAGTCACCAAAGCTTCATGGGGGGGTTGCAAGGTGCTTTAAAATACACACAGTAGACCTAAATCTCAGCATTAAATTCACTTCTGTGAAGAAAAGTACATTGTGAAGAAAACTCAGAATCTGTCTGATTGTTAAAATGATAAAAATACAGAATAAAGACAGAATTGTACCAAATATCAGGACAAGTCATCTCTGATCAATATTCACAGGAAATAATCAAATCTGTGGTTTTACACAGTACACTAATATATATATAAAATATGTTCCCATATGAAGTTAGGCAACCAGGGTCCTGTAGAACAGTGTCAGGAGGATTCAGTTCCTGCAGAGGTCCAGTCTCTGTCTGTGGATGGCAGCGTGATAAACCTCCTTATATAATAACTGTGTGTTTCTGGAGCGCTGGCAGTGGCTGGAGGAGTCGTGATGGACGGCTGCCTGCTGCCTCACTTAGAGAAGAAAATGAGATGAAGAGGAGGAGGAGGAGGAGGCGTGCCACGTTCCAACCATAGGGCCCATTAAAAACATGGCAGCATATTGATAACACATGACTGTGTCACACGAGGACAGCCCGTCTCTCTCCTCCTTTGTCCCTCTGCGAGTGCAGCAGCGAGCTAACATATGGCAGCGGTAAAAAGCTAATGTGGAACTGGCAGCTCGCTGGCTAATTACGCCACCTTTAATGCTCTAATGTCTCCAGGGAGGGGCGTCCTCCTCTGAAGCTGAGGCTGGCCTTCATTTAAAAATGGATCTTTCAAGTGCTGAATTTTTAAGTAAATCCCGAGACGGCGGCTAACAGCGGCGGCCGCTTTGATGCAGACGTTAAGGTTTCCTTTTATTTCTGCTGCCTGCTCTACAAAACAGGACAGATTCCATTTCCACTTCAAACACTGACGCTATTTAAAGACGTTTAAACGCAGCCATGTTTCCTCGTCCAGGGGAGTGTAGACAGTAATTTATCAAAGGCTGGAGGCAGGTGGGACAAAGCAGCACGTCACAGGGGGGCAGATGGTAGTCCTCGTCTTCATCAGTGTCAGAAACAGTTTGACACTGTGTCTCTGGTAAAATGATGTTTAATTTGCAGTCTGATTCCGTTATGAAACCATTTAACAAGTTGCATAATTGAACATGACGCCCTGTAGATTCAGATGGATTTTGGCGTCCAGGGGCGGATCCACAGCGGCCACCCCAGAATGTGTACAGTTGACAGTTACAGCTGATAACCAGCTCCATTTTAAATGACCCCCGCTGTTTGCACAGTGAACTGCAGCTTCTTCTTCTGGGCGGAGGTCAATGGTCCCAACAAGTAGAACAAAGTGGAATAAAAACAGCAGCTTCATTCCAGCAACGATCATTCAGATCAATAAGTTGGTTTTATCTTATGTTTTTTATTGATCTCTCTTTGTAAGTCTTGATTTCACTTTTATTGTTTGTAACCTTGAACCCAAATTTGGTGTCGAATTGAGTTTATTAATTTAGACTATTTGGTCTATTAGTAACAGAACATGTTGGATTGGTGACGTTAGCTTATCGCCCTGTTACAGGGTATCATTCAGTGGCTGTGTCTCATTCCGTCAGTGCACTGCTCATGTGCACTGACCACTTACTGCCGTAGTGTCACTGTCGATGGTTAGTATTGTCCCAAAATGAACACTTTTGTTAGAACACTTACCGGAAATGACGAGCGGGATGAGAGTGACGAACACGACAAACGCAACACACGTGAACGCGATTTTCCAGCCCGCCAAAAATATATGCCGACTTTTGTTTACAAACATTTTTCTGCACGTTCATTTCCCGCTCAGTTCACAGCGTGTGGAAACTACGTCGCCTCCGACGCCAACGCAGGTTAGGGTGGCGAGGTAGCTAGGTAGCATTAACAGGTAACGTTACGCTAATTAACTCGCCAAATGATTCTGTCGGCTTCAGTCAGTGAGGACCTGTAAGTAATGCATCAGACGACAGTAAAACGTTTCATATTACCGCTGTTACTTTATACGATAGAGTTCACATTTATAACGTGCTCGTCCCTATGGTCCCTCCCCTTCCGCTCTGGAGTCAGGATGGCGTCCGTTCAGTGCGAGTAGGGTCCATCATTACGCACTGAATTGTTTAAATCTAAATGTCTAAATGTTCGCAGTGTTCAAGTAGGCAGACTGAGACACAGCCAGTGTGTGTTGGTAGCTAGCTACACTTCTGTTCAAATATACTCAGAGGAATGAATGTAGCATAAAGGCATTAAGCTAACGTGGTATTAGGGAGAGTAAGCTAGCAGTGATTAAACATTAGCTAACTGCAATCTGCTAGCATTAGCAGGGCTGAACACCGAGTTTACTGTCTGCTGACCAAACATCAGATAAAAGGGAACAAATGTGACATAAATCTTTAATAGATAGCTAATATAGCATTACCAATGCTTAGCTATCAGCTAACAGAGTTATTGTTAAAAATCAAGGCTCCAGTTTATATTAATGTGTGTATATTAATAAAGAGTGAAGATGCTAATTAAGCTGCTTAATGAAGAGTCGATCTGATTGGTCCTCGTCAAAGCAGAACAACAGGTCCATCAGCTGTCAGCAGGAACATTAATTATTATTATAATTATTATTAACACACACACTCACCTCTGTGTGTGTGTTTGATGCTGGAGGTGTTCCTCCAATCAGAGCTCTGCAGAGCCGTCAGGATGAAACCAGCTTCGCTCCTCAAGCGTGAAATTACTGTCGCTGTTCTTTGTTGATAATCCGACAGTTTCAGAAGCCTCGAAGCAAACTGCGTTCTGTTCTCCGTCAGCTGGAATACAACTCTGATCTGTTCAAAACACACATTTCACCCTGAATTCAACCTCATTACAGTCTTTTATTGGAGCTGTGTTTGTTATATGTTTATATACCTTTAATAAAACATGCACCTTTCTTCTGCATTAAAATACAATTCTGTAACTTTACAGCATCTAAACTGCTTAATCACTTTGGTTCAGACGTTGGTTGTGCTTTAAAAATACAGACAGACAGACACTTTAATTTAATTGTATTTATAGTATTTCTATTTTTGTATTGTACATGTATTGTGTGCTTTGGCAACATGTTTTATTCAAAACGTCAATAAGGCCAATTAAATTGAAATTAAAATAAATTGACACACAGAGAGAGACAGGCAGAGAGAGAGAGACAGAAAGAGAGAGAGAGAGAGCCAGAGACAGAAAGAGAGAGAGAGAGACAGAGACACAGAGAGAGAGAGCCAGGCAGAGAGAGAGAGAGCCAGAGAGAGAGAGCCAGGCAGAGAGAGAGAGAGAGCCAGAGACAGAAAGAGAGAGACAGAGAGAGAGAGAGCCAGAGACAGAAAGAGAGAGAGACAGAGACAGAAAGAGAGACAGAGAGAGAGAGCCAGGCAGAGAGAGAGAGAGAGCCAGAGACAGAAAGAGAGACAGACAGAGAGAGAGAGACAGAAAGAGAGAGAGAGAGAGCCAGAGACAGAAAGAGAGAGAGAGAGACAGAGACACAGAGAGAGAGAGCCAGGCAGAGAGAGAGAGAGCCAGAGAGAGAGAGCCAGGCAGAGAGAGAGAGAGAGCCAGAGACAGAAAGAGAGAGACAGAGAGAGAGAGAGCCAGAGACAGAAAGAGAGAGAGACAGAGACAGAGAGAGAGAGCCAGGCAGAGAGAGAGAGAGAGCCAGAGAGAAAGAGAGACAGACAGAGAGAGAGAGACAGAAAGAGAGAGAGAGAGAGCCAGAGAGAGAGAGAGACAGAGACAGAAAGAGAGAGAGAGAGAGCCAGAGACAGAAAGAGAGAGAGACAGAGAGAGAGAGAGCCAGAGAGGAGACCTAGTAAAGTGCAACAGGTCGGAGTTAAACTCTCGGACGCTGCAGTGCGGTCTCAGCCTCACACGGGGCACCATTTCTGCCAGGTGAGCCACCAGGACAACCCGGGGCTCCCTAACAAGGTTAATTAAGAAGAAGAAGAAGAAGATGATATACTTTATTGATCCCCTAGGGAAAATTGTTCGTTTCACTCTTTTTATACACACACACACAGGCTGAAATGCACACTTCATGCACTTGTGGACATGCAAAGGGGAGAGAGATGGTGGAGTCATGGTGCTGCAACATTAACAGCGCAGGTTTTGGGGTTAGATTGCTCAAGGGCACCTTGGCAGTGCACAGGAGGTGAAACTGGCAAACTTGTGGTCTGTAGGACTTGAACCGGCGAACCTCCGGTTCCCAGGCCAAGTCCTACACACTGAGCTACTGCCGCCCCAATAATTAGTCTCAAATCCAAACAGAGAAAAGTCTGTGAAGACAACAGAGAATGAAACAGAGCTTAATGGTATTTATTAGATCAAATTACTTTGAAGTTATTTTACAATTATGTTGTTTTATCTGACTTCGCTTAGTTACCTCAAATCTTTGGACATTATTCAATAATCTGTCTTAACTTATTGATCAGGGTTTGGGATTGTTACTTCCTGATTTCACTGCAGATTTTCCAAAAAGTTGTGATGCTTTTAGGCTTCTTTCATTATCAAACTGTGGGAGAAAGTGAAAACTGAAAATATTTTTATTTTTATTATTACTATTATTGGATTGTGATGTTGTGCAGAATTCACAGGGGTTGGTTGAATTTGTGTTGTTGTTGAACTTCCTGGTGTTATCTCACTGCCGTGTATTGTCTGGGCAGGAATGAGACTACATACAGTCTGATTTTATTTAATTGATTAATTTATTTGATTAATAGACAAATGTTAATTGATCAGATTAAATCACAATGTTTCAGGTCGTCTCATAAACACTTATTTTTAATAAACTGCTGCATCCATTCAGGTTTTTTACAGTGTTGATGTGGCCTCAGGTTTTTTACAGTGATGTGGTCTCAGTGGGTACGCAGCGTCTGCAGATCCACTTTAGTCCTGGTCCTGGCAGCTCAGGTGGGGCTGCATACAGACCGCGGGCTGGCTGCCTCTCAGTCTCTGTGGTTGAACAACAGAACTCGGCGGCACAAAGGATAAAAACGGATCCCGGCGGATCCTGGAGGTGGCACCGCCTGTGGAAACATGAAAGCTTTTACACGTTAACCCCCCCTCCGCCCAAAACCACACACATAAAAGAAAGTTCTCTTCCAGCCGGGAGGACGGGGACGTTTACGGGTCCAGACTCGGCGTCTCCATCCCGCCTTTGATTCGGGCTTAGAGGTGCCTGAGAAAGGCTGGAAGTCACTGCTGCTTTCTGCGGGACGTGGCGTCGAGTCGGGCGTGACGCTGGCCTGGCAGACGCAACGACGGCGACGCTAATGGACTGGTGCTCCGTGGTGCGTTCAGGAATGCTGGGCTGCCAGCAGAGTCTCGAAACGCTCCTTAAGAGACATCCAGGAGAAAGAGGAGGTGTCGACCTGAACCACAGAATAGCATCAGACTGTAACATATCTTAAAGGGACAGTACACAGAAACTGTTAGCTTCCATCTACTGTTAGCTGAGAGTTAGCTTCCGTCTACTGTTAGCTGAGAGTTAGCTTCCATCTACTGTTAGCTGAGAGTTAGCTTCCTAAGCTTTCTAAGCTAACTGACTCTAGAAGCTAACTCTAAGCTAACTCTAGAAGCTAACTCTAAGCTAACTCTAGAAGCTAACTCTAAGCTAACTGACTCTAGAAGCTAACTCTTAGCTAACTGACTCTAGAAGCTAACTCTAAGCTAACTCTAGAAGCTAACTCTAAGCTAACTCTAAGCTAACTGGACCAGATTTGGACTGCTTTGATTTTAGCATGTTGGTTACCTTGACGACGTGTCTGCGAGCGATGTCGGGCCTCCTGCAGAGCGCCTGCAGCCGCTTACAGAGCTGCTCAGGTGTGGAGTACAGGTACTCTGCTGCATTAGAGAGCACAGAAGAAGAAGTTGACTAACTGTCGTTTAACCATTGAACATATATAAAATCAATAATCAATAATAAAGTCCGATTATTACCTGGGAATAGTTCAGGATACACTAAAGCCTTCGGACACAGAGGATAACAGCCGCAGTGGACAGCTTCTAACCTGGAACACAATCAGACAATGAGTCTGTATGCTAGTTTAGCTTAGCATAAAGACTGGAAACAGCTGGCTGTCCAGATGTGTTCGTGTGGCCTTTTAGCATCTGTTACCGGTTAGCATCTCATCATTCAGACAAGCTAACTGTAGTGTAGCATTCGATATGAGTCTGCCTGAGCTAACAATGGCTAGCTCGCTCAGCTGCTGTTTAATAATAATGAAGCATTTAGCAAATTACCTTTTTTAATATGTTAACAAGCTAATGCTAGTATGTTGACTCACCCTTGCTTAACATGATACCATTAATAACATTATAATGAACCCTAATAACTTTATTGATCATCAGGTCCACATTTAATATCTGCAGCACTAATAACACTCCCATCACCATTACTGCTAATTAGCTAATGTTAGCATGCTAACACGCTAAACTAAGATGGTAAACATTAATTTGGTAAAGAAGTTAGCATGTGGATGTTAGCCACACACGGCTGCTAGCAGGTTGTCAGTGTTGATTATTTCAAATTAAACAACAAATTAAGTGTCAATAAAAAAATATCAATCAGTGATGAGCGAGAGAAGGCGGCTAATATCTGGATTCATTCAGTTATTGATTAATTACACAGTGATTGGCTGTATTTATCTGAGTAAACTGACAGTCACAGCGAACTCTGAATTATGGATGAGGTTTCAGCATTCATATTCAAACAGCAGATCTGACTCAGACCAAATAAAACCTGGTTCTGGTGTGAAGGTCCAGGTGCTGAGACTCTGATGTGGATTATTGAGGTTGGTTCCGTTCTCCAATGTGAGGAAATCTCATCAGACTTAATCTCATACAATTATTGGATGGTTTCAGTGGACTGAATGACCTCATCGTCACCGCGGGACACAGCAGCTCGCTCAAGGAACCTAATTAATCAGATTAATCACTGATGATCTTAATTCATCAGTTTACACAGAAATTAGTGATAACGAGGACCAAACTCTCCCAACATCATTAGCTTGTTTCTCTGTTTCTCTCATAAATAAATATTATTTGTTTTTAATAGACGACGAACAGATTTTAATAGAACTAATAATTCCAATGACTGTTGCCTAGATTTCATGTGAAGACACAATAATAACCAGGGACGGCTGGTCTATATGGGCTAACAGGGCTAAGCCCCCCCTATCTTTAACAGTAAAGATGAAAAACTATTATTAAAAACCTTAGAACATATTGTTTTAAACTTTGGTAGAACCTAGAGCAGCAACAGCACCAAACAGTGACAGAAACAACCCAGGATATATGATATATCCTGGGTTTTTCCTGTGAATGGGCTAAATATATAATAATATATAAGAATTATAATTATATATAATAATATATAAAAATATATCAGTCCTGCTGAATTTATTTGGCAGAAAATGTATCTTTTAGAAAGTCAGTCGACTCCCAAGTATTTTATTTTTAATTTTAATTTATCAGTTTCAGGATATTTGGCCATTTTAATCCATTTCCAGGTGTTTCCATGACTTCCAGGGTAGGAAACCCCTTCCTGTTTGAGGCCACACTACCAGATACAGGATCCACAGTGCTGCTGTAAACAACAATAACCTTCAACCCTTTAAAGAAGACAATATTCCAGATTCCAGATGTGTGAGAAAGGATTCTGTTGTCCACAGTAAATATATTTATTTATATTTAATTGTTAAAGAGAGGAAGCAGAATATCTCAGATGTTAATATTGACCATTTTAAAGTCCACAATTGTACGAGTGAACCTTCAGAAACTGTATGGGGACCCGCAGGGCGCAGCGGGGGTCCTAGTCCCTCCTGGTTCTGGATCAAAGACAAACACAAACATCACTTCCCCCTCGGGGACGACTCCTCTCTGCTATAATTAGCTCCTGATTCATTATCACACAGAGAGTCTCATTACACAATAAAAGCTCTTCTGTTCATCTACATCAACACCGTCAATGCTAACACTAACACTGCTAACTAAACACATTCCTTTACTGGACTCATATTTATTTTATTAGATAGATGTCTGTAGAAGGAAACTTTAATCATCATCAGTCCTTCTGTCAAACTACTGCAAGCATAGCATGCTAATGTTAGCATGATAACCATTAACCCTAACCATTCAGTCCGATCCCAAGATACCACGACATGCTAGATGTGACAGAAGTTTGTCAAGACCACATGAAGTAACATATTAAACACTAGCCAGTTATCATGCTAACTATGAGCATTAGCATTACAATGCTATATAATAAGAACCATGCATGATACTATTAGCATTTTAGCTCATCTGGTTCGCTCTCATTGAATTCAATGGGTTGTTTGAATGTGTTTTTGGTTCAGTGGTGAACACAGTCAGTAAATATTCCACCTGTGAACGTTGAAGCTTTTACTAACGAGGTTGAGACTCGACTTTGATTTTCAGCCTCGTTTATACTCTGAAAACTATTCTGACTCAAACTTGACAAGATTTTAATTAAAGATTACGTTAAGTTGGAAGTTTAGTGTTGGTGAAGTCATGTGACGTTGCTGTACTTGGTTTACAGGCTAACGTTAGCTTGTTTTGGAGATCATTAGTGAAGATTATCTTCCATTTGTTTTCCACACAGTTTAATTAGACCTTCTGTCAGTCATTAATATTTAAACTTTAAACTGAACAAGCACACGTTCTTTATGATGTGATTTGTATGTTCAGTAGATTCTGTGTTTTTGTGGAGGGACTCTGGCGTGTTGAGCTCACTGAACTACAAACAGGAAGATGAATGAGGTTCAGATCAGACGACCAACTGCAGGCTGTTTGATTGGTTGTTCTTCAGAGAACGCAGCGTCTGATTGGTCGTTGCGGTTCGGCCTGCAGCTCTCCTCCACCTGACAGATACTGAGATCAGAGACTGAGCCGGTCCCACAGAGTCCTCACCTGCAGGTCTCTACAGGATCTGACGAGACCACCTGAATAAATAAAGCTACTGACTGTGAGCCGCAGAGGTCAGATAAAGCAGGGACTGAGCTTCTTTCAGAGCTGAAATGTTTCACCTACTTTTACTTTAATAAACTTTACTATGAACAATAAATGATAAAAATATTATATAAATATTATAGAAATCTTACATAGAATAGAATGGCTTTATTGTCACTGTACGCATGTACGATGAGATTAAAAAACATACTTTTACATAATTTTAATAATTATTTAATAATAATTATTTTCAATCATAATTTACATAATATAATATAATAATTTACATAATATAAAGTGTATATGTATCACTACATTTCTGATATATATTAGTGCCGCAACCATTGTTGAGTTAAGTAATTGAGTATTCTATTGATCATTCCATTGATTAATCAAGTAATCGGATTAGAAATACTTTTTCTTTATTAAAGCAATAGTAGAAATAGATCAATAATAAATATACAAAAGATAAAATGAGACATTCAGAGTTTCATCTGGGAGTATTTTCAGTCTTCACTGAACTGTAGTGGAGTACTTACACACTGGTATCAGTACTTTTACTGTAGTGGAGTATTTACACACTGGTATCAGTACTTTTACTGTAGTGGAGTATTTACACACTGTGGTATCAGTACTACTTGGGTTGAGTTGATCCAGACTGTGGACGGATAGTTAGCTAACTATGAATCAGGTTAAAATAGTCTTATATTATAGTATATATATATATATATATATATATATATATATATATTTATTATTGAGTATATTGAGCTGTATGTGAAACTCACTTACAGGATCACAGTAAACACACAGTTTAAAGTCAGTGAGATTGAGAGTGAGGCAGGAAGTGAAAGGAAAGTTCTACTTATTGATTTCTGATTGTCACAGTCAACATGTGAATGAAATCTGGAATTCATTCTTCAGTTATGGACTGTGAGGTCACAGCGACCTCTGACATTTGAGCGCAACATGGTAACAATCTCTGCTTCCTGGATTATGGTGAATAATGTACAGCACTTTATGATGTCACAGTGGAGCTGACCTATGACCTTTGGGTAAAACATCACCACTTCATCTCATTACAGAATCAGATATACTTTATTATTCTAATTAACTAATTACTGCATCAGTTCTTGAGTTATAAGCGTGCTTCTCCATCTTATTTTGAGCTCGGTGAACTTGGACCTCTTAAAGTTAATAATGACCTTCTGATTGCTTCTGACAATGGACTTGTCTCTGTACTTGTATTATTAGATCTTAGTGCTGCATTTGACACCATTGACCATATTATTCTTTTACAGAGACTTGAGCATCAAATTGGCATTAAAGGAACTGCACTAAGCTGGTTTAAGTCATATTTATCAGATCGTTCGCAGTTTGTACATGTTAACGATAAATCTTCAAAAAATACTACAGTTAGTCATGGAGTTCCACAAGGTTCTGTACTTGGACCAATATTATTTACTTTATATATGCTCCCTTTAGGCAACATTATTAGGAATCACTCCATTAACTTTCACTGTTATGCAGATGATACGCAGTTATATCTATCGATCAAGCCCGATGAAATTAATCAATTATCTAAATTACAAACATGTCTAATGATGACATAAAATCCTGGATGAGCTGTGGCCCCAAAAACCTTAGACACTCACTGTCTAAAGATATAGTTACTCTAGATGGCATTACCTTGGCCTCTAGCACCACTGTCAGGAATCTTGGAATTATCTTTGATCAGGATTTGTCATTTAATTCCCACATAAAGCAGACCTCTAAGACTGCTTTCTTTCATTTACGTAATATTACAAAAATTAGACACATACTATCACAGACAGATGCAGAAAAACTAATCCATGCATTTGTTACTTCAAGGCTGGATTACTGCAACTCTTTATTATCAGGTTGCCCCAATAAGTCCATTAAAATGCTCCAATTAATTCAGAACGCTCCTGTGGAATCAGCTTCCAGTTGTGGTTCTGGAGGCAGACACCCTCTCCACATTCAAGAGTAGGCTTAAGACGTTCCTCTTTGATAAAGCTTATAGTTAGGGCTGGATCAGGTGAGTCCTGAACCATCCCTTAGTTATGCTGCTATAGGCCTAGACTATTGGGGGATTTCCCATGGTGCACTGAGTTCTTGTGCTTTCTCGTCTCGCAGGTTCTTATCGATCCTGGTGGAGCCTCCTGCCATGGTCCTGCTAGATTGCAATTGCCAATACTGTTGTTGCTGTGCACCTGTCTGTCTGTCTCTCTCTTTCTCTCTCTTTCACCCCAACTGGTCGAGGCAGACGACCACCCACCTAGAGCCGAAGGATCTGTCCTAGGTTTCTGCCTTTTAACAGGCAGTTTTTCCTTGCCCTTGTCGCCAAGTGCTTGCTCATGGTGGTACTGTTGGGTCTCTGTAAATAATGTTTTAAAGAGTTCGGTCTAGACCTGCTCTATTTGAAAAGTGTCCTGAGATAACTTCTGTTATGAATTGGCGCTATACAAATAAAATTTAATTGAATTAGTCAAAAGTTTCACTAATACAGCTGACCTTTGACCTCCAAAATCTGAATGTCGCAGCGTTCATGAGGCGGGTACAGACTCACATGGCGACTCCGAAGAACTCGTGTTTGGCGGTGGAGACAACCACGTCGGCCTGACTCAGCACCCTCAGGTAGTCCTCCTTACTGGACAGGAAGCCCCAGTTCAGGATGTGAGCGTCCAGCTGAAGCCTGGCCTCCGAGAAGATCTCTGCACAATTACAGCAGGAGAAGAAGAAGGTTGTTATCAGGTAACATAATATTTCTAGTTTTAACAAAATATAACATTTTCTCATCATTATTACAATAAAAGAGGACCCGGGATGGATCCCTGAGGAACTCCTGAGGAACATTAAAGTTCCTACAGTTGATGTGTGAATGTTTCACATCCATCTGCTGAAAGAGGAAAGTTTCTCTGAGCTCACTGAACATCTGGTTTTAAGGGGCGGGGCCAACCAGCATGTGACATCACAAATAGTTTGCGAGGTAGAAGTAGTGGGTGACTTTGTAAAACGTTTAAGGTGGAAACTATTAGTGCTGGCCTCGAATATGTTGTAAAAAGTCTCAGTGGACACTTTCAGCCTGACAGTCTCAGAGAACCAAACCAATGTTTAACTGCGTTCAGGAGCTGCTCCTCCTCACCGCGACCAAAGGATCAGAGGATTATTGCAACACAGACCTTTTCTCTTGTAACACAGAAAGTGTCTTACTGCTACACTGCTTCATATGCTTACTGCACTAGCTGCTGTTATCTAGTTAGCCTGAATGAGCCACATAACCGGAGTGGGACCCGAATGAACCACAGAACCTGAGCGGGGCCCGAATGAACCACAGAACCGGAGCGGGGCCCGAATGAGCCACAGAACCGGAGCGGGGCCCGAATTAACCACAGAACCGGAGCGGGGCCCGAATGAGCCACAGAACCGGAGCGGGGCCCGAATGAGCCACAGAACCGAAGCCGAATGAACCACAGAACCGGAGTGAGGCCCGAATGAGCCACAGAACCGAAGTGGGGCCGAATGAACCACAGAACCGGAGTGAGGCCCGAATGAGCCACAGAACCGAAGCAGGGAGGACCGATGAAGGGCGGCTGATGTCCAGCGGCTCCAACCACTGGACTGGGGATGAAGACCCGGTGAGTTCAGGCAGCGACAGGAGAGGAATGAAACAGAGGAAGAGGAGCCAGTTTGTAGCCAGTTAATTATCAGTAACTGTTAACGTTATCCATCATCCATCGTATCGATCAGCCAGGATTAGTTTCAGTGAAGTAAGAAGTTATTTATTCCGTGTGTTGAACAAGCTTACTGTGTGATTTTACACTGTGTTGGAATAACTAAAGGTTCAGTCTCCTTGCTGGTTGTTCTGATTCACAATCATTACTGCTGTTTAACAGGTTATAATCAATACAGTCATATCAGAAACGTTCAGCCAGTCCACTGTTGGCTTTAACTAACAACTACAGTCGACTGGGACAATCTTTATTAGGGTGCAGGCCTAGAAATGCTACTTTTAACACGAGACACATTATTGTTCCAACAGACAGTTTGTATATCAGCATTATTAAAGTCTGGATGGGCCTTCAATGAGAAAACTGACTCTTTCTGTCATGTTTACAGCTTCAGTGAGAGGATGAATGGACAGCGAGTCACAAAAAGACAATCAGAGTGAATTGTGGGAACAGGAATCAGGTAACTCTGTTCTCTCAGTTTGATTTTAATGAATAACATTAACGTGCAGCTTGCAGTCAGTCTGTGACAAACATTAATGTATTGTATTATAATGATTCATATATTTGGATTATATTTGTATTATAGTGATGCATATATTTGTATTATAGTGATTCATATATTTGTATTATATTTGTATTATAATGATTCATATGTGTGTGATGTACTGATGGATACAATCAGTGTGCGGAGCAGAAATGAAGGAATAAAAAGAGATATATTTGATGAAGGTGGATGTTTGTCCAGCAGCAGAAAGACAAACAGGTGAACAGTGAAAATAATCAATAGTCTGACCCTATTAACAAAATCAAAGTCGATTAAAATTGTCCTAATGTGATTGCCTTCCCAGTACTCATAAAGCTAATCTGTGGATATGAATTTACGGTCAGCGCGCAGTAAAAGTTTACGTCTCAATATCTCAGAGTGCGTTCATTACCTTAAAACACACACAGTCATTATAGCGCCATCAGCTGATCAATGCGTCTGACCTCTGACCTCCGCAGCCTCTAATAACACTAATGAGCACTGATACGACTGTTGGAAAGGTCGCAGCAAAGTCATACAAACTCTGAGTCAGAGAACTCCTGAGTGAGGAAGCAGCTGATCCGGTCCCTGCTGGAAGATCTGAACTCACCTGCACCAGGTAGACTGACTGACTGAACCCCCCCCATAATACTGATAATAATGCTAATAATAATACTAATAACAATAATAATGCTAATAACAATACTAATAACAATAATAATTCTAATAATAATACTAATAACAATAATAATGCTAATAATAATAATAATTAAAGCTGCAAGCAGTGATGAACGGGCCCTCGCACTCCATACAACTCGGGGTGTGCTGCGGCTGCGCTACGTGCTGTCGTAACGACATGAACATTTCATGGAAATCAGATCGTAATCGCAGCGCTTACTTCCTGTTGCCAGTAGGTGGCGCTATCACTATATCTGAATATTGTCATGTAGACGTGTTCAGGGCGGGACTCTTATCAAATGTGTGAAGTTTCATTGAGATTGGACCATGTACACTGAAGTTGTGAGGATGTGTTCAGGGTGAGACTGTTACAGAATATGTGCAGTTTAGTGGACATTGGACATTGTACAGTGAAGTTATGAGTACAACTTTTGATCAGCAAAATTTTTTTACTGTACTGACCAATTTTGAAGCAGATCCGATAAATTCCCTAGTAGGAGTTCATTCAAATACAACGCAAAAAAAAAACGCTGAAAGTCTGCGAATTGCTGGAAATGGCATCACAGTTTAACATTTGATTCAACCTGGCTAAATTTGACGGCACGCCACGGACACGCCCTTTAATGTACATGCTCAAATAGCACAACATTTAATCAGCTACATTTTTTAACTTTGCTTACCAATTTTGAAGCAGATCCGATAAATTCCCAAGTAGGAGTTCTTTATACGTTGAAAATCACTGCGAAATGGCAGAAATGGCATCAGTGTTTGACATGTGTACAAATAGCACAACTTTTAATCAGCAACATACTTTGACTGTACTGGCCAATTATGAAGAAGATCTGATGAATTCCGTACAGTCAAAGTATGTTGCTGATTAAATGTTGTGCTATTTGTGACTGTACATTGAAGGGCGTGTCCGTGGCGTGCTGTCAAAGTTGGCCACGCCAATGGCACGCCACGGACATGCCGTTCAACGTACAATGTGCGCTGCATTTCATGAGTTTTCGAGCATGTTGCGGCCTCCAAAAATGCATTCGTTTAGGAGGAAAAACAAGAAAAAGAATTCCTTCAATTAGAATAGGGCCTTCGCACGTTCAGTGCTTGGGCCCTAATATTATGGTTAGGGTCAGGTGGTTGTGTGTTAATTGTGAGTTTAATGTGTTTATTGTGTGTTTAATGTGTGTTCATTGTGTGTTTATTGTGTGTTTAATATGTGTTCATTGTGTGTTAATTGTGTGTTTAATGTGGTAATTGTGTGTTAATTGTGTGTTTATTGTGTGTTTAATGTGTGTTAATTGTGTGTTTAATGTGTTTATTGTGTGTTTATTGTGTGTTCATTGTGTGTTTAATGTGTGTTCATTGTGTTTAATGTGTGTTTAATGTGTTAATTGTGTGTTTAATGTGTGTTGATTGTGTGTTTAATGTGTTTATTGTGTGTTTAATGTGTGTTAATTGTGTTGATTGTGTTTATTGTGTGTTTAATGTGTGTTGATTGTGTTGATTGTGTTTAATGTGTGTTGATTGTGTGTTTAATGTGTTTATTGTGTGTTTAATGTGTGTTAATTGTGTTGATTGTGTTTATTGTGTGTTGATTGTGTTTATTGTGTGTTTAATGTGTGTTAATTGTGTTTAATGTGTGTTTATTGTGTGTTTAATGTGTGTTTAATGTGTGTTTATTGTGTGTTTAATGTGTGTTAATTGTGTTTATTGTGTCAATGGACTTGTCTCTGTACTTGTATTATTAGATCTTAGTGCTGCATTTGACACCATTGACCATGGTATTCTTTTACAGAGACTTGAGCACCAAATTGGCATTAAAGGAACCGCACTAAGCTGGTTTAAGTCATATTTATCAGATCGTTCGCAGTTTGTACATGTTAACGATGAATCTTCAATAAATACTAGTTAGTCATGGAGTTCCACAAGGTTCTGTACTTGGACCAATACTATTTACTTTATATATGCTCCCTTTAGGCAACATTATTAGGAATCACTCCATTAACTTTCACTGTTATGCAGATGATACTCAGTTATATCTATTGATCAAGCCCGATTAAATTAATCAATTATCTAAATTACAAACATGTCTTAAGGACATAAAATCCTGGATGACCTGCAATTTTCTGATGTTAAACTCAGACAAAACCTTAGAGACTCACTGTCTAAAGATAGAGTTACTCTAGATGGCATTACCTTGGCCTCTAGCACCACTGTCAGGAATCTTGGAGTTATCTTTGTCAGGATTTGTCATTTAACTCCCACATAAAGCAGACCTCCAGGACAGCCTTCTTTCATTTATGTAATATTACAAAAATTAGACACATCCTATCACAGACAGATGCAGAAAAACTAATCCATGCATTTGTTACTTCAAGGCTGGATTACTGCAACTCTTTATTATCAGGTTGCCCCAATAAGTCCATTAAAACGCTCCAATTAATTCAGAACGCTGCAGCACGAGTACTGACAGGAACTAGAAAAAGAGATCACATCTCTCCTGTACTAGCTTCTCTGCACTGGCTCCCTGTAAAATGTAGAATAGAATTTAAAATCCTCCTCCTCACCTATAAAGCTTGTCATGGTCAGGCCCCTTCATATCTTCCAGCTTCCAGTTGTGGTTCGGGAGGCACACACCCTCTCCACATTCAAGAGTAGGCTTAAGACCTTCCTCTTTGATAAAGCTTATAGTTAGGACTGGATCAGGTGAGTCCTGAACCATCCCTTAGTTATGCTGCTATAGGCCTAGACTATCGGGGGATTTCCCATGGTGCACTGAGCTCCTCTCTTCCTCTCTCTTTCTGCACTCATTCATGTCCCATTAATGCATGTTACTAACTTCACTCCTTCCCCGGAGTTCTTGTGCTTTCTCGTCTCGCAGGTTCTTATCGATCCTGGTGGAGCCTCCTGCCATGGTCCTGCTAGATTGCCATTGCCAATACTGTTGTTGCTGTGCACCTATCTGTCTGTCTGTCTCTCGCTCTCTCTCTCTGTCTCTCTCTCTCTCACCCCAACTGGTCGAGACAGAGGACCACCCACCTAGAGCCGAAGGATCTGTCCTAGGTTTCTGCCTTTTAACAGGCAGTTTTTCCTTGCCCTTGTCTCCAAGGTCTTGCTCATGATGGTACTGTTGGGTCTCTGTAAATAATGTTATAAAGAGTTCGGTCTAGACCTGCTTTGTGTCCTGAGATAACTTCTGTTATGAATTAGTGCTATACAAATAAAATTGAATTGAAATTGAATTGAATTGTTCAATGTGTGTTTATTGTCTTTAATATGTGTTTATTGTGTGTTGATTGTGTTTATTGTGTTAATTGTGTGTTGTGTGTTTAATGTGTTTATTGTGTGTTTAATGTGTGTTAATGGTGTGTTTAATGTGTGTTTAATGTGTGCTTATTGTGTGTTTAATGTGTGTTTATTGTGTCTGTACCTGGTGGGTCAGTGAATGTCTCTCCGAGCACCGACAGCTCAAACTGCAGTTGTCTCTCCTTCAGTTTGATCAGAGTGGAGAAGAACAACTCCGGGTTTTTATCATGTTCCCTTCAAATAAACAAACAAACAACAAGACAATAAGAAAATAATGTTTTATTTCTCTGATTTACTGACTTTATTACAACCACTGCTCCCTCTCCACATTCTCTCTTAATGTCACCCAACTACTAAACAACAAACAAGCAAACAAACAAGCGATCTGGAAACACACAGTGAAAAAATCTTTACCTGCGACCAAAGATGCTCAAACCTGATTGGTTGAGACAACTCAGACTACAAAGAGAAACCACAATGCTTTGCTACAGATTCTGCATTCATATTCAGATCATTTATAATAACAATAATAATAATAACAATAAGAGCTTTAAATGACATTTCAGTGCTTCCTGCAGTGTCTGAACACTTAGCCAACCACAGTAAACGATAAATGGACCTGTACTTGTATAGCGCCTTTCTAGTCTTCCGACCACTCAAAGCGCTTTTACACTACGTGCCACATTCACCCTTTCACACACATTCACACAGCGATGGCAAAGTCCATCGAACAGAAACTAACATTCATACACATTCATACACCGATGCTGTGCATTGGGAGCAATTTGGGGTTCAGTATCTTGCTCAAGGATACTTCGACACGTGGCAGGAGGAGCCGGGGATCGAACCAACAACTTTCCGATTAGGGGACAACCCGCTCTGCCTCTGAGCCACAGCCGGCCTTATGATGCACAAGTCCGTTAATCGCAGTATATTGTATTATTCTGTTATTAAAACAGACTCATAAAGATGGAAAGGTGTTTAACTTCTTTATATTGAGGATGATGGAAATGTCTGTTTTTTATATTCATATATATACACACACACACACACACACACATATATATATATATATATAATGTATATTCTATGTCTGTTCAATATGAACATGTTTAATATTTATAAAAGCAGAATAAAAGCAGTGGAGTAGAGGAGTGAGCATGCTCAGTGGAGAGCACATTAATATTCATCATCACAAGCTAAAAGAAAAAAACTGATCTCTGAGACTGTCTCATTTACAGAAGAGTGATTAAATATTCTGCTTCATGTTGAACCCAAGAGGTGCGTTTTAAAATTCAAATATTATTTACTGACATTCACAATGTCAGTCTGAAATCCACAAACTGAACAAGTCCTAACTGACACACATTTACTGTTAGAGAATCACTATAAAATACACATTTACTGTTAGATAACCACTATAAAATACACTGTACTGTCAGATAATCACTATAAAATACACTGTACTGTCAGAAAATCACTATAAAATACACTGTACTGTCAGAGAATCACTATAAAATACACTGTACTGTCAGAGAATTACTATAAAATACACTGTACTGTTGAAAAACTAAGTTTATTTAATAGGTTTATTTAGTTTTAGTAGATTAATTTTCTTTCAGTAGATTTATTATATCTGAGTAGATGTTTTCAGCGAGCAGCAGTAGATTATATGCGAGTTACAGGATTTAAAGTGTACCAGGGTCCATATGAAAAAGCTATAAAATAAGAGTGCTGTTTCTTGTTTGTTCTGTTTCAATCAGGACATCAATCCTCTGATCCTGATCAACATAAAGCTCTCACACACAGATTTAACCCCCCCCAAGGCCCCCACCGGTGCTGCAGCATCTTCACCTGGAACAGCTGTTCACCTCCCCAGTCTCCCCTGCCTCCCCCAGCAGCAGCAGCAGCAGCAATAAGACGGAGCTGTAATCTGATGAGATCGGGGCCACACACAGATTAAAACAAACAGACGAGGAGCTTCAATCAGAGATTAACAGAAATCCTCATTTGGTCGCAGCTGTAATCCATCTGTGTTTTTGCTCAGTTCAGAGCAGATTACATGCCGGCGGCTGTTGTTACTGATACAAGAGAAGGTGAAAAACACATCGACAGGACGGTGGCCTGGAGGCCCGATAATCTCCATGAATCTGAAGCATCTAATATCACATCTGACATTAGATTTATCAAACTGCTCAGTGACAGGAAATGACAGCATTTAAAACACTTCCTAATTAGATATATTAGAACATTTTTGTCACAAATTCTTTCTTAATGAATTACTAATTAATTTCATACAATGAGGTAATTAAATTTAAAATTTAAAATCCTCCTCCTCACCTATAAAGCTCTTCATGGTCAGGCCCCTTCATATCTTAAAGAGCTCATAGTACCCTATTACCCGTCTAGAACACTACGTTCTCTGAATGCTGGGCTACTTGTGGTTCCTATAGTCTCTAAAAGTAGAACAGGAGCCAGAGCCTTCAGTTACCAAGCTCCTCTCCTGTGGAACCAGCTTCCAGTTGTGGTTCGGGAGGCAGACACCCTCACCACATTCAAGAGTAGGCTTAAGACATTCCTCTTTGATAAAGCTTATAGTTAGGGCTGGATCAGGTGAGTCCTGAACCATCCCTTAGTTATGCTGCTATAGGCCTAGACTATCGGGGGATTTCCCATGGTGCACTGAGCTACTCTCTTCCTCTCTCTCTCTGCACTCATTCATGTCCCTTTAATGCATGTTACTAACTCCACTTCTTCCCCGGAGTTCTTGTGCTTTCTCGTCTCGCAGGTTCTCATGGATCCTGGTGGAGCCTCCTGCCATGGTCCTGCTTGACTGCCATTGCCAATACTGTTGTTGCTGTGCACCTGTCTGTCTGTCTGTCGCGCTCTCTCTCTCTCTCTCTCTCTCTCACCCCAACTGGTCGAGACAGACGACCACCCACCTAGAGCCGGAGGATCTGTCCTAGGTTTCTGCCTTTTAACAGGCAGTTTTTCCTTGCCCTTGTCGCCAAGTGCTTGCTCATGGTGGTACTGTTGGGTCTCTGTAATTAATGTTAAAGAGTTCGGTCTAGACCTGCTCTATTTGAAAAGTGTCCTGAGATAACTTCTGTTATGAATTGGCGCTATACAAATAAAATTGAATTGAATTGAATTGAAATGTAACTCACCACCTGTGAGGCCAGACGATGTGTAGAGGTTTCACCTGGTCCTCCTTACTAACTGGTCTGTGGTCTGTTCTGGGTTCAGAAGTGGACTGATGTGGATCCTGCTGCTCGGACCTGACAGTGTCATTAAAATATAATACGTATTATTTATTAATTAAACACACTTAATCTTACTATTATGGACGCATTAGTCAGATCTAAGTCTTTTATTCTTGTTGAATTTGTTACCATGGAGACTGCTGCTTGTCCTGTGGTGTGATGATGTCATCAACGTGAGACGCCTCTGCAGGCCTGCGGAGGAGTTTGTGTTTGGGTAGCAGCCTGAAAAACAACCCGCAGAATAATCAGTTGGAGAAATATGAAAACAAATACTGAAGTTTCCGACGCTCCTGAACGCCTCATCACCACGACAACGAGCAGCAACTGACGGAGGAATAAATCCTACATCATCAGTCCCTGATGTCCAACACACACCAGACTCCAGTCAAATTCTGAGGGTTTTTATCAGCTCTTCAAAACAGAATAGAAACAAGACTGTTGTGACAATGAGGTCCCAAATCAACTTCATCACCAAGTCCCCAAATCAAGTCAAAAGTTACCTCCAACAAGTCCCAAATTAAGTCCAGAGTCAACACCAACAAGTCCCAAATCAAGTCCAGAGCCAACACCAACAAGTCCCAAATCAAGTCCAAAGACAACACCAACAAGTCCCAAATCAAGTCCAAAGTCAACACCAACAAGTCCCAAATCAAGTCCTGAGTCAACACCAATAAGTACCAAATCAAGTCCAAAGTCAACACCAACAAGTCCCAAATCAAGTCCAAAGTCACCTCCAATAAGTACCAAATCAAGTCCAAAGTCAACACCAACAAGTCCCAAATCAAGTCCAAAGTCAACACCAACAAGTCCCAAATCAAGTCCAGTGTCAACACCAACAAGTCCCAAATCAAGTCCTGAGTCAACACCAACAAGTCCCAAATCAAGTCCAAAGTCAACAGTCCCAAATTAAGTCCAAAGTCACCTCCAACAAGTCCCAAATCAAGTCCAGAGTCAACACCAACAAGTCCCAAATCAAGTCCAAAGTCAACACACAGTCCCAAATCAAGTCCAAAGTCAACAGCGAGTCCCAAATCAAGTCCAGAGTCAACACCAACAAGTCCCAAATCAAGTCCAAAGTCAACACACAGTCCCAAATCAAGTCCAAAGTCAACAGCGAGTCCCAAATCAAGTCCAAAGTCAACACCAACAAGTCCCAAATCAAGTCCAAAGTCATCACAGTCCCAAATCAAGTCCAAAGTCAACACCAACAAGTCCCAAATCAAGTCCTGAGTCAACAGAGTCCCAAATCAAGTCCAAAGTCAACACCAACAAGTCCCAAATCAAGTCCTGAGTCAACAGAGTCCCAAATCAAGTCCAAAGTCACCTCCAATAAGTCCCAAATCAAGTCCAAAGTCAACACCAACAAGTCCCAAATCAAGTCCAAAGTCACCTCCAACATGTCCCAAATCAAGTTCAGAGTCAACACCAAGTCCCAAATCAAGTCCAGAGTCAACACCAACAAGTCCCAAATCAAGTCCAGAGTCAACACAGAGTCCCAAATTAAGTCCAACGTCACCTCCAACAAGTCCAAAATTAAGTCCAGAGTAAACACCACCAAGTCCCAAATCAAGTCCAAAGTCAACACAGAGTCCCAAATCAAGTCCAAAGTCAACACACAGTCCCAAATCAAGTCCAAAGTCAACAGCGAGTCCCAAATCAAGTCCAAAGTCAACACCAACAAGTCCCAAATTAAGTCCAGAGTCAACAGAGACCCAAATTAAGTCCAAAGTCAACACCAACAAGTCCCAAATCAAGTCCTGAGTCAACACCAACAAGTCCCAAATCAAGTCCAAAGTCAACACCAACAAGTCCCAAATCAAGTCCAGTGTCAACACCAACAAGTCCCAAATCAGGTCCAGAGTCAACACCAACAAGTCCCTAATCAAGTCCACAGTAACAGAAGGTTTTAGTGAATTCAGAGAAAATATGTATTAAGATTCATTAGAAATATCTCTGATGTTGAAGAAGACTAATGGGAACTAATATCTCCTCGTCATCTGCTATCTTCCCGCTCTGTGTCTGTAGTCCAGCCTGGCTTCTTATTCCAGTCAGAGTCTGCTGTCCACATTCAGCTACAGCAGCAGGAAGGTTGTGAGTGAATGTTAGCTGCAGCTAAAGTTAGCGACGGCTCAATCTAGCGCTGTCGCGCTGTACATATTATATCAGATATAACAGACAGCTGTACAGACAGACAGCTGTACAGACAGACGTCTCAATCTAACGCTGTCGCACTGTACATATATCATATTACAGAAAGACAGTGGGACAGACAGACAGCTGGACAGACAGACAGTTAGACACTGGATCCTCCAGCTGAGGTTCAGTCTGATGTCTCTGAGGGAAACAACCTGACTCAATAATCCATTTCAGAAATTAATGTTTGACTGCAGGCAATAAAAACCCAGAGGGGGGGGCTGAGGGGGGTCAATTATGTTATTGATAAATCAACAGTAATCTGTGTGATGACCTCACCTCTGTGAGACTGATTAAAGATGAAAAGATGAAGGTCAAAAATCATATAGCTCATTTACTTTATTGGCAATAATCACAAGAGTCTGAGAGTGTGGACCTGGTCTGGACGTGGACCCTGCAGACCCACACAGACCCTCAGGTTTAATATAGAATATGTAACTTTATGTTTAATTATTTCTATAAACAACATTCACTGTCTGTCAGACACTTAATGAGTCCACCAGAAACACTGAACATTCAGTTAAAGCTTCACAAGTCACATTATTATAATTTTATGTCTCTATAATAATCTGATTATTGATCAGCAGAGAGCGACTTCCTCTGACTGATTTCTATGTGTCTCTATGTAGGGATGAGGGTCAAAGGTTGTGACCTTTATGCTCCCGAGTGCCTTCTCTCTCCGCTTCCCTACAGTGCCAACAGTGGGCAACACAGAGTCCAACACAGAGTCCACAACACAGAGTCCACAACAGAGTCCAACACAGAGTCCACAACACAGAGTCCACAACACAGAGTCCACAACAGAGTCCAACACAGAGTCCACAACACAGAGTCCAACACAGAATCCAACACAGAGTCCAACACAGAGTCCACAACACAGAGTCCAACACAGAGTCCACAACACAGAGTCCACAACACAGAGTCCACCACAGGGTCCACAACACAGAGTCCAACACAGAGTCCACAACACAGAGTCCAACACAGAGTCCAACACAGAGTCCAACACAAATTCCAAAGTCAAAGCTAACATTACTGCAAAGCTAGTGGAACATATTGTCTGATTGTGCTGTTAGCTGGATAATGTTAGCTTACTTGCTAACTAGCTTGCTAACATTTTCGCTAGCAAAATATTACCTGAATAAATATGTTAGCTTTGCCAGCTAATGTGATCCATGATGCTAACTTATGTATTCTGACAAATGGTGTTGATTTTAGCCAAGAATAAATTATGCTGACGGTACAAAGCTAAGCCTTCTACTAGCCAAAAGCAAAGTGAGGCAGAGGCATCCAGCTAGCTAATTGTAGCTAAGCTAACTGGGGTTGTCCAGCTGGCTGTATCTTGGCGTTGCGGTAGTTATTAGCATGGAGCTAGCGGTCCAAATAAAATATAGGAACATTGCAGATAGTAACGTTATTCTAAATATGATTGTCAGTTATTTTACAGCATTCAGTGTTTGTCGCTGTTGGCCGACGCCCAGGACGCTGACTGCAGTTCACTGAACGGCCACTGGTGGCGCTGTTAGCTACAGTTCACTGAACGGCCACTGGTGGCGCTGTTAGCTACAGTTCACTGAACGGCCACTGGTGTAGGCATTTACACTAAGACGTGCTACGGTAAGCTTACTGACTCATTTCCGGTTCACTTCCTGCTCTGTGTACACTGTTTGGTGCTGTAGCTCTGTCAGTGAACGCTAAATATACATTAGTTTTACTTGGTACAGCGGTTATTTTCCCGCTTAACATTTAAACGTAGACTAGTTCTACCTAAGCACTCGGAGTTACTCCTTCTTTTAGCGACTTTTCGCTACTTTCAAAAGTTTTTCATATACGCTAGTTTCATTAGCATTAGCAGTTAGCTATGGCTTCTCCCTCTCCTCTGTCCTGCTCAGTGTGTCAGATGTTCAGTTATTCCTCTGCCTCCTTTAATGATAATGGTACATGTATTAAATGTAGTTTATTTACTGCGCTGGAGGCGAGGCTTAGTGAGTTAGAGGAACGGCACCGCACCACGGAGATATCTTTAGCCGCTATAGTTAGCCAGCCCCCAGTAGCCGGTGCGGTCCGACCGAAGGTAGCTTCTGTTAGCCGTCCTCCGGTAGTTCCCCCGGTAGATCCCGAGCAGCCGGGGAAAAAGGGAGGCTGGGTGACTGAGCGAAGGAAGACTAAAACGCCGAAGCCCACAGGTCACCACCAACCCATTCATGTTTCTCATACATTTTCCCCACTCAGCGATACACCGGCTGAGGAACCAACTCTGATTATTGGCAGCTCCATAGTCAGAAACGTGAATCCTATTTAAAACTGCTGGCTAAAGATAATCGTAAATACAGTAAGATTGTTATCCACGTCGGTGGTAATGACACCCGTTTACGCCAATCGGAGGTCACTAAGATTAATGTGGAGTCGGTGTGTAATTATGCTAAAACTATGTCGGACTCTGTAGTTTTCTCTGGACCCCTGCCCAATGTGATCAGTGATGACATGTATAGCCGCATGACGTCATTCCACCGCTGGCTGTCGAGGTGGTGTCCAGCAAACGATGTGGGCTTCATTGATAACTGGAAGCCTTTTTGGGGAAAACCTGGTCTGATTAGGAGAGACGGCATCCATCCCACTTTGGATGGAGCGGCTCTCTTATCTAGAAATATGGCGAAGTTTATTTATAAAACCTGACAGTCCAGAGTTAGGACCAGGAAGCAGAGCTGCTGTCTTACACACTTCTCTGCTCTTTCTTTAGAACAGTCACCCACCCAAAACCCAATAGAGACTGTGTCTGTCCCCCGACCACCTAAATTATTTAAAGAAATAAAAACAAGAGGAGTTCAACATAAAAATCTAATAAAAATTAAAACTAACTCCTCAGTAGCACAAAATAAGAGAATGAAATGTGGACTGTTACATATCAGGTCTCTGTCCTCTAAAGCTGTTTTAGTGAATTAATTAATATCAGACTATGATATTGATTTACTTTGTCTTACTGAGACCTGGTTGTCCCACGAGGAGTTTGTTAGCCTAAATGAATCCACCCC